GGGCCATAGAGTGATCCAATCTGCCATCTGGAAGGCTCTTATTGGCGATTGCCAGAGATGTCTCTAATTTTGTATATTGGGCTGCCGTGAGTTTCATAGACATCTATTTGGTTTCACAATAATCTTGCATCTGGAGGGCGTCCTGCTTTCTTGGTGGTCGTGATTTGATGGCCACACCCGATATTTCCTCCTACTCTGCCTGTCTCTTCCCTGCTCTCCTGTCTCCGAGGTCTTTGCTTGGCTTCCATTGCCCAGTGCTGCTCTTTTTAATCCCTGTGGTTGGTTTCCTTTAGGGAGAATTCTTAGCAGTCGGATACAATTCATTTTCTGAAGTATTGATCTGCTCTGGGTCTTTCTTTATCGAGCACACATTTTAATGAGAAAAGGGAGTAAACGTTTTGAAGTCACTATTGTCTTGTTCATGTTGAATTCACTGTCTGAAGACAGCTTGGAATGTCTGTTGTTTTTGTTTCCCTCCTTCTTTGGAAAACTCGGTCTTCTCCCGGCTCTGGTGGTGGGCGAGGCAGCAGCCTGTCCAGGTACCCCATGGCTCCGGTGCAGCAGGTGGTCCAGGAATGGGCTCGTGGCTTAGAGAGAGCCAGCCAGTTGGTCTCTGGGATTGTCCTACATGGATTGTCATGGAAGAGCTGTTTCCTGTGCAAGTTGCAGAGGGGCAAGTGAGTGCAGAGAGATCCCAGCCCAGTGTCCCGTCACAAGGGGAAAGTGCTGTGAGGGAGGTAGGCTGGTGTTCGGAGGGACGTACAGCAGAGAGAAGGTTCAGGCAACAGGCAAGGGTCCAGGCCAGGCCTCCCGAGACCTCTTCTGCCTCCGCCCTTCCCACACCTTGGCTTAACTTGCCCCTGTGGCTCCAACCCAGAACACTCCCCCAGAACACTCCTGTAACCCGTCTGCCCCAGAACACTCCTGTAACCGTGGTTGTTTAAGCCAATTTGATTTGGGTCCCTGCGCTTGGCAACCAGCAGTGTCATGGGCCACACATTATTCATGCCAATCTAGGAAATTTAAAAAGGGATAAGTTTAAGTTTCAAATGGTCCCTGTCTTAACTTTTGCCAGACTCTTGGTGAATAGGATTTAATGTGAGTCTTACCGAGGGTTCAGTAAGTCTGTCCATGCAGAGTTAAAATCTGCAATGAAGCACATAAACTCTCCCGAGGGTCATATCCAGGCCAGGGTGTTGCACAATGTTTGTTGCTGGTATCACCCATCTGCAGCCCAGATCTCCGAACTCCAGGTTCACGCGTCTAACTTCCTTCTCAACCTGTCCACTTGTTTGTCTAATGCATATTCCAACCTCAACGCATCAAAAACTGGGACCCTGACTTCCTCCCTCAAACCGCTTTACTGTGTCTTCTGCTGACTCAGTAGAAAGTGGAGCTGGCCTTTCCACCGCTCAGGCCGACATCTTGGTACGATCCTTGATGTCTTTATTTCTTTCACAGCCGCATCCAGGCCATTAGGAAATCCTACTGACTAGGCCTTCAAATGCACCCACAGTCTGTCTTCTATGCACCACCTACCCTGCTCTCCCTCTGGTCCAAGCTGCCCCACCTCTCACTGGACTTGCTTTCCAACAGGTCACTCTGCTCTGCTGCTCCTTCCCCTGTACTCTGTTCTCAGCATGGCAGTCAGAAGCATCCTTTATTTTTATTTTTTGAGAGACAAGTTCTCACTGTGTTGCCCAGGCTGGCGTGCGGTGGCTATTCACAGGTGTGGTCATAGTTCACTGCACCTTGGACTCCTGGCCTCAAGGGATCCTCCCTCCTCACCCGCTCCGGTAGCTAGGACTGCAGGTGCACACCACCGTGCCCAGCTACAAGCATCCTTTTAGAACCTAAGTCAGGTAATGCGATTCAGAGAAAAACTCCAAGTCCTTAAAACCCAAGTCCTGGTCTACTAGGTCCTCCATGAAAAAACCCTCCCACTTTTGACTCAAAGCTTATTAATTTCGTCTTGTTCACTTGGCTCCTGCCACACTAGTCTCTCTGTTATCCCTCCAGCTTTCCAGGCACACCCTCTCACTGTCATTGTTCTATCTGATCCCTTTGCCCAGAATGTCCTTCCCCCAGATCCGTTTGCTCTCTTACTCCCCTCTGCATCTTTGTTCAATCTCACATTGTCAAAGAAGCCTTTCCTGATCACCCTGTTAAGTTTTGCAAACCCCAAATCCCAGCAACTTCCCCACTCTCAACAGCTAGCTACTTTTTACCAGCCAACTATAATGAAACACTGTGTCAGGCAGTATTTTCCTTTTTTGTCTGGAAGTCCTTGAAAAGGAGCTGGCAACTTGTATACTACGTAATGCATGCTTGGAAGGAAAGAAGCTCCTGAAAACAACGATTTTATTGAATTATTTCCTCAAGTCTTAGATGCATAGGTTACAAAAGCCAATAAATCCCTCTTTTAGACATAAGCTACTTTGAGTTGGTTTCTGTCACTTCAAAAAGATCAGTATTAATGCGCAGATTAATACTGGTCTGATAAATTTTAAGAATAAAAGTCCATGATTTGGGCTTTGTTTAAATTTATGTCTCCTAAAATTTAGCATTAGATTATTTATACTTATTTGTCCAATGGTTATACTTCTGACAATTTTTCTTAAAAGAAATCTTAAAAGCCAAAGTCAAAGGCCAATGTATAAAGAAGTTCACTTGCTATATCATGCATAATGATTAAACATTAGAAATACATTACATAACACTACTCCCTCCTTGCTTAAAAAGGAAAAAAAAATTAAAAAAAAAAAGAAGAAATACATTACATTTTTAGGATTTAGCTTAGATATTTTCATAAATTTAGCTCTCAGACCTCTGGGGAATCCCTGAGACCATTTAGGGGGTTTGCAAGAAGAAAACCTTTTTTCATTAAAATACTAAGATATGATTTGCCTTTCTCTCTGTGTTGATATTTGCACTGCTGGAGCAAAAACAAGGGGTGGGGGTGAGACTTCTGGGACCTTAGCACAAATCACCACAGTGACACCAGAATGTACTAGTAGTCATTGTGCTGTTTACTACTACATACCTGAGTTGTGTTTTATTAGGACAAATTCATTTAAAAACACTTGATGGAGCAACAAAAATAACACTTTTATTAAATCTTGACCTTTAGGCTCATGTCATTTTCAATGTTCTATGTTCTTTGTAATAAAATGGGAAGGACACAGAAAGTATTTCTGCTGCCAACTGAGCAGAATGTTTGTCTTAAAGCAAAGTACTTGTATGCTTGTTTGAGTTACAAACTCAACTAGTTCCTTTTTTTTTCTTCATGAAATTCCAGCTACCTAAAAATTAGAGTTACTCAGACTTGTCTATTCGGTAAACATTTTCTTGAAAGAGAAAGAAATAAGCCCATTACTCCTAAGATCACAATTAACAGTGCTTGTTGCAAATAATAAAATTCAAACTCTCAGGCCAAAAATAGAATTTTAGAATACTTTTATCTGCCACCATGACCTTGACAGCTTACTGATACTTGAAGACTTTTCTGATAAGACCATGGTGACATTTACAAATGTGATATTTTGGTATTGTATAATGAATTGTGTCAACATATGGAAGATCTAATCACGTGTGGGTAATCAAAGGCATGATAGACCAATGAATTTTAAGATGGCAGAGTACAAAAAATTATTTATTGATTCAGCATCTGATTCTCTACTGCAACTATTAAAATACTGCCATGTTTTCATTCTATGCATAGTGTTAAGTACTCTCAGGTAACTTTTCTGCTTTATTCACTTGCTTTATTTATTTACTTTTTGTCTGTCCTGACTGAAAAAGAGAGCTCTGTGAGGGAAAGGACCTTGTCTACCTTTTTCACCGCTGTATTTCTCAGTGCCTGGAGCAGTGCCTACATGGAACAGGTGTTTTGTAAATGATGGTTGAAGAAATAAACACAACCACAAGATGAACTTTTATGCACTATTACCAGCCTGGCTTATCAAGAATTTCTAATGATTGGAGAAAATTCTTGAGATACATGGTTATTGAAAAAAGATTCAAAATTATTTACCTGCAAGGATTTCTAATGTATAATGCACAATACATATTCTATAATATCATGCATAGCATTATATATTTTATTTGTGTGTGTGTGTAGGTATTCCTAAAACAGTAAAACTAACAGGGTTTGTAGAAGAAAGAAAGGTTGAGGAAAACCATGGAAAACTATGCGACTTTGTAACCAGGACACTAAAAGACAACTATTGATAACCTGGAAAGACAACTTGGGCAGCTCAGACAGGCAGCTCAGTATCTCTAGAGATTGCTTCTGCAGGGTTTGGAAATTGTTTTATAACAGGTTAGATCTATTTTTATGACCTACTTCGTGTAGATTATTTATGTAATTAATTTTTTTTTATTTCATATTCAGCTAAGGAAACTGACTTGGGGGAATAGAAGAAAAGAGTTCTTCTCAGGGTCCACATCCTTGGGTGGGTCTTGTCGCCCTTGTCACTTTATCGGTCTTTACCGGTAAAGAGATCGGGGATGAACTGCAGCATCTCCGAAGATCATCCTGACAGTTAGAGCCCATGACAATCCACATCATGATGTGAAGAATAATTTAAACATACACTTCCTATACCGTTGCTTTGATCTGCCCGTCTACTCCGGATGAGAAGTTTGTTTGAAACCCTCATCCATCAACAGAAAATCTCTTCCAGTTGGGGTTCTACAAGAACTCGCTTATAGGGGGTTTTAGGAAAAGAAATACCTGCATATTTGCCCAAGCCAATGATGGGCTTCTTCTTTTTTCTATGGCAACTGTTAACAGCACTGTGTCCTCTGGGAAACCCAGCTAAAACTTCACGTGGAGAGAAAATTACATCAACTCTAGGTCCTGCAAACACACACTCAGTAGTAAGGAGAACATCTGCTGTAACATGTAAGTCTTCAGTCTTCACAGCATTCCTACTCTAGATATGCAGATTTTTTTGACTGCCCCTCTCCTAATCGTTGGCCTAGTGAAACAGCGGGGCTCTGCAGAGTGGGGTGTGCGGAGACGGGGAGCACGGCTTACCTTTCACCGTGACGTGGACGCTCTGGCTGGTGGACAGCTGCGGCTGCACCAGCACGTTGCACGTGTACTCCCCCTCGTCCACTTCCTTCTGCACGTCGGAGAGCTTGAGGGTCCCGTTGTTCTCAAATGCCACTTGGCGGTGGTTAAAAGGAAGCAGGTTAGAGTTCTTGTACCATTTGATGGAGTAATACGGGTAGCCAATGACTCGACAGTGGATGTACGTGTCCCGCCCTGCTATCGCCGTGATATTTTTCATTGGTCGGATGCTTGCAGGCCCTGGAGAGACACACAAAGAAACTCTTGAAAATAATTTAAGTGTACATGCCAGGTGGGGAAATGGGCACACTTTTTTTTTTTTTTCCTGGAGTTAAAAAATAATGTGTGGATTATTTTCATGTAAGCATATCTTTTTCAGTTAAAGAAATGTTTTTGCATGTGGCATTTTCTCCTAAGGGTTTTTTTTATTATTATTATTATTTGTCCTTTTCTTATTTTCAAATGAGTCGGATAGGTGTTAAATACTTTATCAGCTACTTAAAATGTGAATTACAAGATAAAAGGCAACCTGACCAGTAGAAGGTAGCTAGTCTACACTGAACGACCATCCGCTCTTGGTGGAGACACCGGTGGCAGTTGAGGGATTGTTTAACTCCCCCGGGGTGGAGATGGAGGTTATGCCATGTTGCACCATGAATGCAAGTTTAATACCATGGACATGGAGGGTTACCATGGATGTCGAAGAAAGGAAGAAAAGGAGAAAGGAAAAAGCATGCACAGCATAAACCAGGACAGGAAAGATCGAGTGGACAACTCTAGGAGTAGAAAAGGGGAACAAGCTGACTAGAGAAACCAAAATGTCCAAATTTCCAACATTGACCCAGTCAGTGCCATTCCTGAGTAGGAAGGAAAGGGGAGGAAGTGGGAAGCAACAGTTAACCTGTTTTGGCATTCCAAGACTCAGCTCGGTGCATGCAGAAACCTTCTCCTCCACTACAATGAGTTATGTGTGTTGGTTTTTTTGTTTTTTGTTTTTTGGTTTTTTTTTTTTTTTTTTGAGGAGCTGATTTGACAAGCACCTCTTACGTTTATTCGAGCCTGGTACAGGACGACTCCCGCCGAGTTGTTGGCCGTGCAGCGGTAGACGCCCCCGTCCCGCACCTGGGAGCTGGAGATGTTCAGGTAGCTGACCACGTTCCCCTCCGACGTGATCATCTGGCTTATGCGGTGGCCGCCACCCTTCAGGATTGGGTCGTCGTCCAGCGTCCACGTGATGGTGGGCAGAGGCGTCCCCTTCACGTTGCACATGAGGGAAACCGGCTCTGCTGGACTCACCACCTTCTCACTGAAGGCAGAAATAATTTTGGGAGTTCCATCTGCAGGGAAAACAAATTGTGCAAGGAAGTGGCACATACAGATAATTAAACAGCTCCCAAGTACACTCACTCAGTGGTTAGGAGGCAGGGGCAGCAGTTAAACGCTGCCCACAGAGGTCTGGGTTTTACAGATAAAGTGAAATCCCAATCAGAATGAGATTTCACTACTTTCAAAACTGGTAAGCATCGATCTTTAGCAAGCTTCTCTAAGTCACTTTTACTATTTCCTGATGGTCTTACCAAGAGCAATGACAGTGCACCCCAGATGTTCAGGATAAACGGTGGCAGCTCCCAAGGAGTCTCCAGTTCAAAACTCATATATCCCCCCCCCCACAAAGTTATAAACAGAGAGGAAATCCAGTCCCCACTCCAAAAAATATTCACAGTCACTTTAGCTTTTTACTTCCCTCAAGTTATTTAGGGATTTCTCACTAGAGAATTGTTTAGAGGAATAAAGGAAACTACTGGGAGACTGATTATCTCATATTCATCATTTTCTCATAGGAAATAATCTTTTATGGTTTTAATTACAAATGGTAATTACATGTAAATTTCCATGAAGTCTCTGAGAACGGGTAGAAGCTAAATAAAGTTTGTATTAAATATTATGTGTTAAATATCTCTAAAAGTATCATAAGGAGGGTGGCCATATAATTTGACATCCAATCTGGGACAATTTTGAGATTGAAATGGGTACTGCTAATAATTATGCCAAAAGAACAGGCATGACCCAGAAATGTCACAAGCAAACTATGATCTTAATCTTAAGAGAAGTCGCCATTGGAATTTCTTATATGTTTAACAAAGATCAAATTTTCATATTCCATTATTTTTCTGTCACATAACTGGACTATTTTCCTCTTATTGTAGATAAAAATGACAAATGCGTGTTGCTTTTTAATGTGTATTTCCACTAAAAAAGAGATACATGCCTATTAAAGGAAATGTATGAAAATCAAAAGAATGAAAGTTACCAATAGGCCAACCAGCCTCAGGCATACAAATCAACATTGTGACACACTTTTTCTAGGCATAAGTGGGTCACTTTGACATAATCGTGACCACATGCAACAGGATTTCTGAGTCTGGTAATAAACCTTGCTAGAGGGGATGTGTTTTGTTTTATAAAAGGATTTTTGTGTTCCCTTAAAGGATTTGTCCTATGATGATTAACAGGTTTTTTTTTTTTTTTTAGTTTTTAATTTTGACTATAAAAGTAATATATCTTAGTTGAAAAATTGGAAAGTATAGATAAAAGCAAGGGGGGAAAACACAATTGAGGATAGCTTGTAAGTCCGTCAGGGAAAGCTAACTGTTAATAGTTCCAAATAACCTCGAGGAAAGTGTCACTTTGCAGCTGGGTTCTGTGGCCGGGCAGGCCAGCTGTGGGGGTCCTTGTGCCGGTCGGGGGGAGCTGTCTACATTCTTCTACCATCTATTTGTTCCCAAATTCCTGATCTCACATCTCCAGTCCAACTCTTGTCTCAGGTGGCTGGAGAAGGCCCCTGAGTAGGATTTTTTTCCCCAGATGCATTCCTAAGTAGCATATGACAGTGTCCTTGGATTGCAAGAATTTGTCTTTTATGATCAGAGATGAATAAAGAACTTTAAAATATTAAAATGAAAAATCTGTGCTTTTGCCTTATAAGACTCTGAAGACACTGCCTCATCATACTCCGTATTTAAATTTACAGAGAAGTTAGATGTGATCGTGATTGCTATTCATGGTACATAACCTGTCCTTAATGCTTGGGAGGATCGAGGTTATTTTTGTTTGTCCTCCTAATTCCTCCTAATTTTTGTAGGCTGTGTTTAGCTGTAAATTTCTTGGCACTGATTTTATAGTAAGCACTGTAAATTCAAGTGTTTTTATCTGTTTAGAAAAGTGTTCTTGACTTTGATATTTTTGAAGAGTTATTTTGTAGTCAGTTGCTCAAATTGGTTTGTCTCATATTCTCTCATGATTAAATGCAGGTTGTACATTTTTGCCAGAAATACCATGGAAGTGATGTTGTTTTTCAAGTGTTTATTGGCAATCTGTGCATTTCCTTTTTGTAAAGTGTCCGCTCAAACCTTTTGCCCATTTTTTTAAATTTAGACTGTTTGCCCTTTTGTTATTGATTTGTAGAGTTCTTTATGTCTATGAAATACTAGTAAATATACATACTATATATGTCAGATATCTTATAATGGTCCCATATATTTGTCAGATATCCAATATAAATTATATTTAATATTTGTCAGACATATATACTACATAGTGAATATCTGTGTGTGTAAAATGATTTTCTTCCAGTCTGTGGTCGCCTTTTAATTTTCTTAATAACATCTTTGTCATTGACATTTAGTGCTTTCTGTGTCCTAAGAAATCTTTGCCTTTCTCTGGGTAATGAATAAATTTTTCTTTTTTCTTTTAGAGCCTTTACATTTTTAAATTTCACATTCAGGTCTGCATAAGGTATGAGGTATGAGACAGGATTGACATTCATTTTTTTGACATACATTTATTGCTTCAGTGCTACTTATTGAAAAGTCTTTCTTTTACTTATTGAATATTCTGAGCCCTTTTGAAAATCAATTCATCAGCTATCAAGCTGTATATTTATCTTATTTAATGTAGCCTTGTAGTAAGTCTTCAAACATAGTACTAGCAGTCCTTCAAATTTACTCTTTTTTTCAAGACTGGTTCTCAGTCCTTTACTTTCCATATATATTTTTTAGATCAACTTAGATTATAAGACTTCCACTTTTCCATATAAATTTTAAAAATCAATCTACAAATGCTATGGAATTTTGATTGAAATTACATTGATCATTTTAGAGAAAGTTGTTAACATAAAAATATTTTCTAATCCTTGAATACTCTATATCTTTCTAATTTTTCAGGTTATTTGAACTTTATATTAGCAGAGTTTTACAGTTTTACGTGTTGAAATATTTCACACTTGTGTGACATTTATTTCTAAATATCTTATTTTTATGCTATTACAAATGAAAATTTCAAATATTATTTTCCAATTGTTTGTTACTACTGTACATTTTGTATATTGTTTTTGTATCCTATGACTTTCAAAACCCAGTTATAGGTATAGGAATTGCTTTATAATTTTCTTGGGATTTTCTGTGTATGCAACAATGCCTATGATTAAAGACAGCTGAACTTTTTCCTTTCTAAATTTTATGCATTTTGCTTCCCATTCATGCCTGACTAGGACTGCTAGTATAATGTTTAATAGAAGTGGCGGGTTTGAACATCCTTGCCTTGGTCTCAATTTTAAATGAAAACCTTTTAGTGCTTAATCATTAAGTAGGAGTTTAGCTCTAAGTTGTTAATGGATTCCCCTTATGAGGTCCAGGAATCTCCCCACATGCCTACTAAATACTTTTCTGAGTTTTAAAATTCTGAATAGATGTTGACTTTTTGTTAAATGATTATTTCCTACATATATTGAGATGATGAATTGTTTTTTCTCCTTTATTCTATTAATATATTGACTCATAGATTAGACTTTTAATTTTTTAGCAATCTTGCATTTATAGGATAAACCCCAAGTGATATATATGTGCATGTGTATACATATACTTATATGTATGTGTGTATGTTTACATCTACTAAAAGTTAAAATTGTAGTACTTTATGTGAAATGTAAGAACCTTGCAACAAATAATTTTAAATAATTTAAATTACATTCTGCTCTTTGTGTTATTAAATCTATTTATGTTATAAACTCTATAACATAGTGTTGTGATTATATAATATTATAACCAATCAATTATTTTTTAAGTAAATTAAAAGAGAAAATGTAATTTTGCTAAATGTTCCCTAGCATGTTTGCCATTTCTCATACTCTTTATTCCTATAGATCTGAATTTCCATTTTATGTCATTTTCTTCACTCTTCATGACTTTAATTATTATGTATTTATTATATATTATGTGTCAAGTATTAATGTAAGGGTCTACTAACATCACATTCTTTCTTCATTTTTTGAAAATAACTTTATTTTGGTTTAATTTTTAAAGACTATTTTTTTGCTTATAGACTTCTAGACTGGCAGGGCTATGTTTTGGTTTGTTTTTTATTTTCTCTTCAACATTTTAAAGATGCTTGTTGCTACATTGTCTTCTGTTCTCCAAAGTATCTGATGAGAAGTCATCCCCTACTTGTATTATTAATAATATACCTTTATGTAATATTTTCCTCCCTTAGATTTACAATATTTTCTCATTATCTTTGATTTTCAGCAGCTTGACCCTGTTGTGCTCATATGTAATTTTCTTTGTATTTATTTTTGGGTTTAGCTGATTTTTGTGGCTCTACAACTTCATTTTTTATATCAAATTTGAAAAAATTAAGGCCATTATTTCTTTAATTACTTGTTTCTTTCCCACTTCTGTTTCCTATTTTCCTGGGAGAAATCATACATAATCATATGTATGTCAGTCCATCTGACATTATCCCACTTGTCACCAACGCTCTAATCATTTTCTTTGCAGCCTTATGTATCTCCATGCTTCGGATTGGATAATTTCTTTTAATCTATCTTCAAGTTCACTGATCCTTTCTTCCTCCTTCTCTAATCTTGTGGTGAAGCAAACAGAGTGAAGTTTTCATTTCTATTGATCCCTTTTTATAGTTTCCATTTCTCTCTGTTGGTCTTTCCCATATGTCCACTCATTATGTCCACATTTTTCTTTAAGTTATTGAATATATTTGAAATAGTAGCTTTAAAGTCCTTGTCTGAAAATTCTAACATCTGGGTCCTCTTGTGTTCTGTTTCTATCACCTGATTTGTCTCTTGTGATTTAGTCACGGTGTCCTGTTTTTTCATATGTCTAGTTATTTTTTATCGTAGACTTGGATTCTCCCCCACATTTTTGCAGTTTAGGTGGCCAACCAAGTTTTCCATGGAGGTTTATTTATAGGCTTGTGGATGTTCTACTGCTATTCCTTCTTTCCTGGAATTTCTGCCACAATCCCTCAATTTGTAGGTGTTTTGGGAGACTAGACCTCTGTCCTCTGTTACTTCAATCTTATAAGACTGTGTCTCTCCATTTTTATTTTATTTTTTTCCCATCCATCTCATGGACTGGAGAATGTCCTCAGGGGGAAGTGGTATTAATGTAGATGTCATCTAATCCTCTTCCCTTCTTTCAAGGGTCAAACCCTTTCTGCCTACTTTTAGTGTCTCTCTAGTGTCTATATATAGTTTTGCTTTCCCCAAAGTTTGTAATTTTTATTAGCTTGGGATTTAGTCTGATACATGCCATTTTATCATTTCTAGAACTACAGACTGTTATTATTTCTAGTTTATTATTTCATTTTCCAAGGTATGATGCTTTATCCTATAATTATTAAATTCCATTTTTTTAGCCTCTCATAGGACATACTCCCAGATTCTCCATTATATCAGTGTTCATTTCTAGTTCACAGTCTTGAGAATTTTTATAATTGTAATAATGGAAGGTTCCTCTCGGAGAAAACTAGCTAGATATCATTTTAAAGCAGGTACTAGACATGTATTTGTAATTCCATTTCTGCTCTCTTTTGCTACATTAGCACTGTCGTCTCTCAGAAGAGAAAAAATAAAGTGAAGCTTCTTGTCCCGAATGGAAACTGACATGCGGCAAATAAACCCGTGAGTATGTTCAGTGTGCTCCTTTGTCCCCTTTTTTTTGTTCCAGTGACAGGCTTTTTTGGAGATGAAAGCAGACATGATTTTCCCAGGGAGACCCGAGTGTCTTTGAAATCTTTCTTGCTGTCACTCTGATAACCTGAACTCATTCGGCATCATTATGGATTATCAATATGCTTTTTAGGTTTTCTTAGTCACACGAGATGGTTGCCGAGGTAACTAGGCCTAGACAGGTAATCTCTCCTTTTCCTACAAAGAATCTAAAAATAGTGACGACGTGAGGACTAGAGGGTGCATCATCATTAGCAAACTGGCTCTGTACAAATTGATTACTTTCTATACTTAATTATACCGTGGAACACGGTGTCAGGCATTTAATATGAGTACCATGCCTTCAGCTAATTTCACCTCCGCTTTAAAAAAAAAAAAAACACCTCCTTGCCTGCAATGAAACGCTTGAATCAAAATAGGAATCTCTTGCTAAGCCTGCTACTGTTTATAAATTAGCTAAGGTTAAAAAAAAAATAACAGAAATATCATCTTAACATCAAGACATATTTAAACTTATTTTCATATATTAATGAATTTTATTTGTTCTCCCTTTAGGCTATATGAAAATCATTGAATTATTTTAATCAATTGATAACAGATGGATTTTAAATTACATATAAAGACATAATTTCCCCCAAACCACAGAAATACACAGAAGCTAATTAATTATCTGGTGATAAATATATGTCTTATTTAAATGTTACCCGTGATAGTTTCTTTCCCTGGCTGATCGATATGCTTGAAGATGTTGGCATGCAGTAAGCAGTTAAGAAAAGCAAACAGCATAACAAATCTAAAACCTGTTATTGTACCGCTAAGTAATTCTTCACAAATACCATTCACTCAACTCTGTGAGCATTTGGACCCAACTACAGATAGCCGTATCACCCAGATGCCATCTTTTCACTCCAGCAAGCACTATACTGAAATTTTGTCCTGCACTTAGTCTCTAATGACGTATTTCTCCACTGGTGGCGATTCCTCCCACCCAGGGAACAGCTGGTAACGTCTGAAGACGTTTTTGGTTGACACAACTGGGAAGGGGGTGCTACTAGCCTGTCTGTAGTGGACAGAGGCCAGAGATGCTGCAAAACATCCAACGCTGCACAAAATAGCCCCCAAACAAGGCGTTATTGAGAAACCCTGGTCTAGAAGTTAGTGAACTGTCTACAAAACCATAAGTTTTGAGTTTGGGAGATTTACTTCTTTTTTTTTTTTTGAGACAGAGTCTCACTCTATTGCCCAGGCTAGAGTGCCGTGGTGTCAGCCTCGCTCACAGCAACCTCCAACTCCTAGGCTCAAGCAATCCTCTGCCTCAGCCTCCGAGTAGCTGGGACTACAGACACATGCCACCATGCCCGGCTAAGTTTTTCTATATATTTTTAGTTGGCCAATTAATTTCTTTCTATTTTTAGTAGAGACGGGGTCTTGCTCTTGCTCAGGCTGGTTTCAAACTCCTGACCTTGAGCAATCCTCCCGGCTCGGCCTCCCAGAGCACTAGGATTACAGGCGTGAGCCCCCGTGCCTGGCTTGAGGTTTATATCTTGACTAGCAACTTCAAACACGTGAGTGGGCAACGTTTGCATTACTTCTAATATATAATACAATTTCGTTATCATTAGAACTCTCTCCCTCATTTGCCTGATTTCGCTTGAAAAATGAGGGTGAGAGAGAGACCTGACACCAGAATTATCAGGACTGCTTCGCTCTTTATTCTTCTTTCCTGAGTGCTCAGGTTTGGGTTCTTTTTCAGCCATACCCTGTAACGAGGCCCACTGACCTTCAAGGACCACCTGCACATAGTCTTGAGCGGACAGCTTATCCTTGCGCACAAAGCACTGGTACGCGCCCCCGTCACTTTTGACCATGTGATCCATTATAAGGTTTTCGTGGTTGATCCCTGTGATCCTCACATTTTTTCCAGGGTTGAGGATTTCGCCATTGCGGTACCAGGAGAGTTCCTGGTCCTCAGATCCTGTCACGCTGCAGGACAGGGAAACCTGGCTCCCCACGCTGCTTTTAACCTTCCGGGGACTGATGGTAGCTTTCAGTGGCTCTGGAGATTTCGATAAGAGAGAGAGGAAAAGAAAAAAAAAAAAAAAAAAAGGTAAGAAAACATCGCTAGATATCATTGCAACAACACGCTGGACTTTTGACAGGGCAAATATGTCACTGCAAGCGTCCTCTGTACAGGTGCAGTATTCGATATCAGTTTACAGTGTGCCGTTTTGTTCGGGAACATCCTCTTTGTGGGTTTTCTCCCTGGCTCTCTCTATACCACCAATAGGATAATGTTGGTCAAGCCGCCTTCTCACTGAGGCCACATGTGAGGGTGACGGAATTAATTGACTGATGACAAGAAATGCAGCACGCTGGTTACTGATAGGGACACAAGTATTTGAATATATAAATCCTGATTAGCCTTGCTCCAGGGCAGCACCGACAGGTTTGCTCTGGGCTGTTTTCACACACACCTATACTCACGCAGCATGCGCTTCACATGGCTTAGCCGGGGCCAGCACCACACAATTGTGAAAAAGCAGGTTGGTGTTAGAATTTGTGGTCATGAAACAAGAGTGTTTCTTTAAAAATGAGGCTATAACTGATCTGGACAGAGATGAAACTCCCATACTGACTTCTTGTGCTTTCGATTCAACAAAACCAATTCAATGTGGAATGCTTTTTACTGAACATCTACTGTGTACCAAGGATGGGGTCAAATGCACAGAGGAGACAAAAATGAATGTGATGCAACTAGCACACGCCATAATGCTATCAAATAGCTTTCATACGTTATTGAAGTCAGTCTTCCCATAATCCTATAAATTTTGTGTTGTCTCCATGTTACGGAAGAGGAAATAAAAAATGGTTATTCAGAGAGGTTAAGTAACTTAACTAAATCCACCCAATAGTTAAATGGCAAAACAAACAAAAAAAACCAAACAAGGAAACAGTCTTTTACCCCAGTCGCTCCTGACTTCTCATCTCACCACACTGTGACGTCTTTGGTTTCAAGAAGCTCAGTCTTCCGGACTGATAAGACAAGTACAAAAATGGTTACAGTGACCGAGCAGAGTGATGCAGGAGTCCTTGGAGACACACCATAGGAGCATCTACAGGAAGAGCGGGAGAGGCCTCAGATGTCAAGGATGGGCAGAACTGAAGCCAGCTGGATGGAAAGAGGGCATTGTGGAAAGAGGTAACCATGTGAATGGAGGCCCAGTGCACAGGCGTGTCTGGGGAAATGTCTGGTTCAGTTCGGATGCAGCAGCAAACCCCTGCAGGAGAATAATGGGAAACGAATGGCAAGAGCTGTCTCTGAGACATGGCTGCTGAGGGCTAGAAGATTTTGGAATCAAAGCAGAGATAACTAAAAGAAGCATTCAGGAATGTTTAGTAAGTGAGCGCCATAGTCAAACATTTTTTTAAGAGAACTGTTTGATCATACAGAATCAGACAAACTAGAGTGGGGGAAACGGGTCAGTGAAGGCATCGTCAGTGTCTAGCACAGGTGCAATGAAGACCCACTCTAGGACAGGGTGGTGGTTGAGACCGGAGCTGAGAAACCTGTGAGATCCAATCCCTAGGACTTAGCAGGACTTGACCGTAGAAAGGAAAGGCTTAAAGAGGACCCGAGATTTAAAAGTTGGTATTTGGGGAATGAGAGAAAGGAAAATGTGTCTAATAATAAGATGAGCCATTTGGAAGGAAGACAGGTGGGGAGTTCAGTTGGTATCCTACATTGTTCTCTTGACGTGCCAGCTAAACATCTGAAATAAAACTAAATTCACACCTAATGGGCACAGTGCACACTATCTGGGCGGTGGGCACATTTATAACTTGACTCAAATGGCACAAAAGCAACTTATGTAACTAGAATGTTTTTGTAATATTCTGCAATAAAATAAGAAAATAAAAACTGGGAGACGTGCTTGTCTGATACTCATGTAGAATGCTGAGGCTAAACATACGGATTCAGAACTTATTTTCAGAGGTGAAGGATTCGAAGTTATATGGATGGCAGAGAGAGCCAAAAGAAAACAGAAGACTCACTGGAAGAGAAGAGGGTTCTGAATTTGGAACCCAAGAGAATGCTCTCCCTCTGCAGAAGAAAGACAAGGATGAAAAAGCGCTTCTCTTCTGCACTCAGAAGGAGCGGTCAGAATGTTCGAGAAGCCTCGATGTGGCAGCTTACAATTATGAAAACAGGCACAGTCAGAGTTAAGACTGTTCCACAAATCACTTTTAAGACATAGTTCTTGATAAATGCCGAGAGAGAGAGAGAGATAAAATGCCCCAAGAGTGGAGCAGAAGCCAGGTGGAGGAATGTGACCGGGTCTGCCCTCAGCATCCTCCTTAACACAACCCTCGAGGCAGCCATTACTTCAACTGAGAAATGAAATATATCCACCATACTTAGGCTAAATAAATTATCTAAAGTACTGAGTCTTAAGTCCATTATTCGGGTAATTTATTTATTTGTTATTTCAGAATATTATGGGGGTACCCTTTAGTTACATATACTGCCTTTGCCCTGCCGGAGCCACATATGGAAGTAACATTCCCCAGGTGTCAGGCAGGTGGGAGGGAAGTGGAGGGTATGAGTAAATTCACACCTAATGGGTGGGTATTTGGGTAATTTAGAGCCCTTTATTTCTGCCAATAATAGCCCATTTGGGAATTTAATGTAGAAATGATCTGGAAACAGACCAAGCACAACTACTTTGATTGGCTACCATCACCTGTGCTGAAAAAAAAAACAATCCTGCCTTTTCCTGTCTATGTTTAGAGAGTCTGGCCATTCTGAATTCACCAGCTAGGTGACGTTGTCTTGCAGATGTATCTTGGTAACGTAGCAATCCTGCCGCCTAATGGAAATCTCAGAGGTCTGAGGATCAGACAGACTTGAATTCAAACCCCACACCCAATACTCTCTAGTTGTAGAACCTTGGGCAATTCGTATGAGCATTAATCTCCTCACCTGCAAAATGGGGCTATGCTTTGCTAGTGTGAGAATGAATGGGGGGCCTGCAGAGACAGCCTGGAGGTTTGCTCACAACAGAGCTCCATCGGTGGAAGCCAGCAGCACCTTTGCAAGTTACCGTCCAACTTACGTTTCACGTACAGGCGGCCTATCACCTTAGCAGTTCCGTATCTGTTGGACACTTCACACACATAGCTGCCTGAGTCCAAGGGGCGAGTGTTCTCGATGAGCAGCCCCGTCACGGTCTTCTGGAACCTCCCTGAAAGCTCCAGGGGCATGTTGTCCTTTAGCCAGCGGTAATCTGGCTCGGGGTGCCCAAGCGCTTTGCAGGGCAGCTCCACCCGCTGCCCTGCCATGGCTTTGCGATGATCAAACCCATCCAGGATGGACGGGGCTGAGTTCGCCGGGTCTGCAGAAGAAAGAAAAACTCTTAGAGGCAGTGAATGAGAAATTGAAGTGGGCATATAGGATTGCACAGCTCCACGTGTAATTTAAATCCTATACATCAGACCAACTATTGATATAGGTCCTTAAGGTTTTATAGGTGCACAGGAAAAAAGTGCTCCATTCTTACCAATTCTTTTTTGCTCGGAATTTGTAAAAGGGTCAATGAACACTGGTCAGAGCTTCTGCTTGTCCTTCCCTACCGGTAACTGAAAGATTCAGAGTCGGCATACTTCAACAAGAGCGGTCAGTTCAGGGGAAGAATTAGTTATCTTTTTATAAATAGGAACATCAGATTGCCCCTTTCAAAAGAGCAACAGGTCGGGCATTGGTGGGTCATGCCTGTAATCCCAGAACTTTGGGAGGATCTCTTGAGGGCAAGAGTTCAAGACCAGCCTGGGAAACATAGCTAGACCCTGTCACTACAAAAAATTTAAAAAAATAAAAATAAAAAATTAGCCAGGGGTAGTGGCACACGACTGTAGTCCCAGTTATCAGGGAGGCTAAGGAAGGAGGATTGCTTGAGCCCAGGAGTTCAAGGCTACAGTAACCTATGATTGCACCATTGCACTCCAGCCTGGGCAACAGTGCAAAGGGAGTAGATCTTAAATGTTCTCACCACACACACATGAGCACACACACATACACTCGTACAAATGGTAACTATGTAAGGTGATGAATATGTTATTTAGCTTGATTATAGTAATCATTACAATAAATGTTACCATTGTATTATAAATACTTATAGCATATACAAACATCACCTTAGACAACATAAATATATATAATTTTTCTTTGTCAAGTATCCTCAATAAAGCTAGAAAAAAAGAAACTCTAGCTAATGAGATATAAGAGGCAAAAATGTGTGAATTTGTAGGAAATTTTGCTTAAAGGTAATTTAGCTGGCAGAGGTGTCCTTGCACATTTTCCCTTTCCTCCTTTTCACCACCTGGAATGTGGATGTAAAGGCTGGAGCACCAGCAACCATCTTGGACTATGAAATCACATTGAGAGTAGAATCATACATGAGGATGCAGATCAGAAAGGTAAAATCCTGGTCCCTGGCAACCTTAGAGCTGCCAAACCACCTTCTGGACTTCTTTTATGTGTGTGAGAACTAAATTTCCATGTTTAAAAAAAAAACCACAACAACAAAAAGCCATCTAGAAAGACCTCTTTAAAAGGTTGCAATTCCATAATGAGCCACTGGGGCAGTCAACAGGCACCACTGAAAACCGAGAATAAAAACATTTAGCTGAAACTTCTTGTGCTTTGGATTTCCTCTGTGATCATCAGAGACAGAAATTCATTATAAACTCGCTGCTCTTTTCACTTTGCCGGTGTCTCGTGAGAACAATGTGGAAGCGACAGGATGGAGGGACTTAAATAATCTAAAGAGCATGCGGCTGGGCTTCCAGGGCTCTTCTGAAACGTCATCGTTCATTAACTGAAGAATTCTATGTCCCGTGATTATTTCCATCCACACGTTTGGCTCTGAGGCTCCAGAGGGAGACAGAGAGGTAAAAATTTCACAATGGCAGGCACAGAGCCTGTGCCAGGGAAAACCTCATTGCTTCATTCCACCTGCTTCTAGAGGAAACTGCAAACACACCTTGGAAAGTGTCGCTTTGAGGATCAAGTTACTTTCTTATGGGCAGAATAGTTAGGAGGAGACAAGCCTAAGATATGATGTCTCACTAGTCCCTGGCATCCTCAAACGTTGACTTAGAATCTGGGAAAATGGCCAGCTGTCCACACCCATTTGACTAGAAGTATCATCACCTGCACACCCCAGTGGGGATGGTGAACTAGAAGGAACAGGAATGTCCCTGGGGCCGACTCCAAATATCATCTTGGACATCCTCCACCATGTGTGATTTTATCACTTCCTCGCACATTGACTTGCAGACAACACAGATACCATGGGGATATATCGTTCAGTAAGAAGAAATTATATCTGAGATACATATGTGTTGGAGTGAGCTTCCCTAATGTTATTCTGAAATCTGCCTTCGCTTATTTAAGAACATGGGAACACAATAATAGCTCTTGCTCTTGAGCAACCCATTTCAGTCAGGACAAAGTAGAAGAATGGAGATATTACAAAGTAAAATGAACAATGTTATGAAATCTGCCATTTTGCTTAGAGCAGGAGGTAAGATTAGAGATGGAGAAAGTAGCACAAAGAATCGCCCCTTTGGCAGGGCTGGCTGGTAACCAACACCACAGTGCGCACCTCTGGTTTTTTATTTTTCTTTTTTGAGACAGACTCTCATCTGTCATGCTGGGTAGAGTGCCGTGGTGTCATCACAGCATCACAGCTCACAGCAACCGCAAACTCCTGGGCTCAAGAGATCCTCCTGCCTCAGCCTCCCGAGTACCTGGGACTACAGGCGTGCGCCACCATGCCTGGCTAATGTTTTCTATTTTTAGTAGAGGTGGGGTCTTGCTCTTGCTCAGGCTGGTCTCCAATTCCTGAGCTGAAGCAATCTTCCTGTCTCAGCCTCCCAGTTTATGGTTGGTAAATTATATCTCAATAAGACTGTTTTACAAAAAAGGAATGGGGCATTTCTTTTAAGTCCACAATTTAAGCAATGCTTGAGACAGGCTCTTATGGGGATATTTGATCATATATCAAATTAGAACAACCAAATAGCATTGTTGGCTTTAATTTTTATGCTCTTGTGTTCAAACTTTTTAATGTACATTTACAAAAATTATTTTTATCACAAAAATTGGAAAAATCACACAAAAGGAGAGAAAATAATATACTGTATTCCATATAAACACCGTGCAGCTACCACCGGCACCAAAATTTTTCTATGTCCATCTACATTTTAATTTCTTTATAGTCTTTGTTTTTAGTGCTAAAGTATTTGCAACAAGTCAGGTAACCTATGTAATTTTATCACTATATCATTAGTATGTTTCTTTAATAAAAATAGAGGTTTTAAAAATATAACCACAATATCAATATTACAATATTACACAATAGTAATAATAATCTCTTGGTTTCATCTATTATACACTTTGTATTCATTTTTTCCTGATCAGCTAAAAAAAAAAAGTTTATTATTTAAACAACTGAGTTAATTAAATCACGATCTTTCTACAGTTCTCATTTAATTTTTGCATCTGTTAAGTCTCTTATAATGCAGAGCAGGCATGCCCTCCTCCCTTTTTTCTGCCATGTCTTTGACTTGTTGACCTGAAGAAACCAGGTGAGTTATCTTGTAGGGCAGTGGTCCTCAACCTTTTTGGCACCAGGGACCAGTTTCATGGAAGACAGTTTTTCCATGGACCAGGGAAGGGGGCGAGTGTGGCATTCGGTCAGTGATACCAGTGATGGGGAGAGGCTGTAAACACAGATGAAGTCTGACTCGCTCACCCGCCACTCACCTCCTGCTGTGCTACCCGATTCCTAACGGGCCATGGATCTGTACAGGTCTGCAGCCCGGGGATCGGGGACCGAAGTTGTAAGAAATTCCCCATTCTGAATTTATTTCTTCATGGTGTCATTTAACTTGTTCTTCTATTGCCATAGCCATTTTTCTTATAAACTGGACTTTAGTTCCGTGGATTGATTAGGTAAATGTTCAACCTTTTTTTCCTTCTCTTTGAGAAGGTTACTATGTAATTCATATCACATCCACATACTACGTGGCTTTCCCACACTTAGTAGCACTAAATTGATTGGTGAGGTCAGATGTTGAAATTTAGCTGAATTGATTATTTCACGAGGGTTGAAAAAATATGTTAATTTTCTAATTTTCTTATTTCTTTCAAGTGCAGTAGATGTAATTATTCTGTAGATAAGAACTTTTCCTCCTGAACTAAGGTTATTTGGTTATCATGAAATACACTAGTGATAGTAAAGGCAATTGTTTTCTTTAATCACCAGTGTCAAAATGAAGAGTTGGTGCCCCAGTTACCACTATGTAGACCAATGACATTCTTATTATTGGTTTATTAAATTATAAAATATGTGTGCATATGTAAATATATGTACATAAAAATACATATATGTACACATGTGTGGATATATATGGGTATAAAATCATAATGAACTCAAGGGTTTTTATAGTGTTTAATAGTTATCAATCATGCGTTTTGATGCTCAACTTAACCCCTTTTGGTTGGTGAGAGTGTCTTCATGTTGGCTCCTGTTTCATTTGAAAGGCCTCATTAATTTTTCAGACTCACACATTTCCTACCCAAAACCTATAATCACCTCTTCTGCCAAGGAGGCATGGTTCCTTTTAGTGGGGAATCATTTTGAATATGGACTACAATCTAGGTGATAGAGGTGCTTGTTGCTATTGTGTGCTCATTGCTTCTGGGACTTTTCAATGGAAAGACCTTGGAAATAGATACATATTTTTTTTTAAAGCATGTACTGATAGTTTCAATTGAAATTTGACATTTCAAGAATTTTACTTGTAAGTGAAGTATCCCAAGAATGGAAAAACAAGCACTACATATACTCACCAGCAAACTGGTATTAACTGAGCAGCCCCTAAGTGGACACATAGGTACTACAATAATAGGGTATTGGGCAGGTGGGAGCGGGGAGGGGGCGGGTATATACATACATAATGAGTGAGATGCGCACCATCTGGGGGATGGTCATGCTGGAAACTTAGACTTGTAGGGGGAGGGAGGGATAGGGCATTTATTGAAACCTTAAAATCTGTACCCCTATAATATGCCGAAATAAAAAAAAAGAACTCTTACCTTGTATACTTTTATTTTCTCTTAAACTTAAAATCTTTGTTCCAAATAAAAAAAAATTAATAAAATAAATCTAATTACTTTTCCCCTATCCTACTATATATATTTTTTAAAAATTAATATTTAAAAACTAAGCCAACTAAATAAATTTTGAAATTTATTTTAAGCCATTGTTTCTTTAGAATATGTTTGTCATATGCAAAAACTGTGTCTTAAAGTTACTTGAAATATGTTTTATGTTTGATTATCTAACAACTTGATATGCATTTAGGTTTATGTATTTCAGTACATTGTCAATTTTTAAATTACTTTTTGAATTTAATATTTTGAAATATTAAAGCATTTGCATGGTTCTAATGTTGAAACTGTATGACAAGATATATTAAAAAATGTCTTATTTCCATCCATGTCCCATACACGTTCTTCCCTAGAGGTAAACCATTTTATAAGTTTTTAGTTTACCTTTCCAGTACTTTTTCACAATTATAAGTAGATCCATACATATTTAAATCCCTCCACTTTCCCTACATAAGAGACACACACTATATATGCTGTCCTGCACCTCCCTTTTTTCACTTAACAATATATCCCAGAGATTACCTCACTGATGTGATGGAGATCATCCTTGTTCTTTTTTGTGCCTGCATGTTATTTCATTCCGTACTACATTAGAATTTGTCTAATTATCCCCTATTGATGGATGTTGAGGTAGTTTCCAAGATTTTGCTAGTGTAAGTAACTCTGTGATTAGTAACTCTATGCATAAGGCATGATTTTGACACTCCATCATTGGAAAAAACTTCCTAGATTACTCAAAGAAAATAAATTCATATGCAGTTTTGCTAAATAATGGCAAATTCCTCTGCATGGGATGGGAGTATCTTTTTTAAAGTCTTCATAAAGGCTGATGAAGAAGGGAAGGAGGAAGTGACAGAGCAAAAATAACCAAAGTCAGAAATGCAAAGGGATCTCACCACAGCATTAGGAATCCAAGATCATCTTTGCCAACTGTTAAGTCCTAGAAGGTAGGCTGGTTCTCACTCATTCCCAGACTGCAGCCCTTTGACTTAAGCATGTGGACTTCACCATGCCCCACTTCTATGGACCAAGACTCCAATTTTTATCCTCCTGATCCTACTAGGCTTTCAGAAGAGCTGCTCAGCTTCTAAGCCTTTCATCTGTCTCCTCTATAACCATCCATCCTGCTAGACAAGCAGCCCAGATAACAGACTCACTTCCTGTGGCTGTTTTCTTCTAGAAGGTGGCCCTATGACTTTTCACGTTAGCTCCTGACAACTTCTGGCAGATGTTTCTGTACACATTTGACCAGCCTTTCTAGTGTCAGAGAAACAATGGCTGGCTCAAAAACCTAGTCTTCATATAAAAATCAACCACATTTAAAAAAAAAATAGATTACATTGTTTTGTCTATTTTATTGATTTTTAAGAAGAAAACTTGTTTGCTTTTACTGTTCTTTTTGTCTATTGTCTATTTCATTGATCTCTTTCTCTTTATATTTTCTAAGTAACTTGAACTCATTCTCTGGATGCTTAAAAGATCTTTTTCTTAACATTTACACAAATTTTATTAAGAATATGTTACATGTCAACCTCGCTGGGTCCGTTTCCCCAGGTATAGTTGTGCAATTTCAGTATGAAGTCACTGTGTATTGTTTAATTGCAGGACACTTGCTTGAATGATTGTTTTAAATTCTTGCTCTGATCCAGTGTTTAGTTTTCTTCTTAAGAGAATCTATTTATACATGCGTCCACCACCTTTGCCAGTGAGCAATATGTCTTTCCACTAATTTTTTTACCTCTAATTTGTTCATTTTTCCAAATGTGTTGTTTTCTTACTGTTCTTTATTTCCCGTATTATGCTTTCTGTTGTGTTTATTTTCTCATGCGTTCCACCTCATTTTATAACTCTTAATTCTTTTGAATTCTTTCCTACACTATGCCATTTCTTGTTGCACAGATTCTAGTCCTTTAGTCATTGTGCTTATGAACTATTTTATTTCTGATTTATACTGCTATTTCAAACTTTAATCATTTTCAAACAATCAAGTATAGTATTCATAAGATTTGTGTCTATATATTTTAGTTACTTTTAATGGTCAAAACATTATTTGGTTCATTTTCATCCTTTTATATTTTTTTGTAATAAAGTTGCATAGGGTTAAATCTTTTCCCTGTTAACTCCATTTACAATGAGGTAGCACCTCTCGGGTAATCGGGACATGCTCCCTGCAGGACAGGATGACAGAAGGATGCTTTTCCAGGCTTCTCTCTTGATTTTACCCTGACGGACTCAAAATATTCAGCCCTCTTCTCAGAGCGGCACTAGCTGGGGAGAGTTTCTGCCTTTAGTCGTGTCTTTCCTTGAGTGCTCCGTTCATTCTGAGGCCATTTGCTCCGTTTTTCATCTTGCGTTTTCCTTTTGTAGCACCGCATAGGGTAGAATCCTGCCGGGCCTCCCCTGCCGCCGGAGCCTTCCCTCTCTGTCACCGTCAGATCCCACTCCCGCTCATTTCATTTCTCCACCCAGCAGTCTCCCTCAGGGCGAGTCTCTGTTCTTCTGAAAGGGGCGTTTGCTGCGCGCTTCTGAGATCTTCAAGGACTTGGCCCTCCACCAGCCCTCGCCTTGTGGCGTCCTGGCCGACCGCACTCCCGGCCTTCTCGTCTCCAGCTCGGAGCCCACGCACGCACGCGGTCCTGGCCACGCGTGTGCATCTTCTGAGGCCCATTCCCCAGGCGCCCACCTAGGGGGCGATGCTCCTCTGCTTTCGGAGGTGAGTGTTTCCCGACTGTGCTGCAGCTCAACCAGGCCGTCCCCTTCCACCCCCTCCACCTCTGCGGCGTGGCTGCTGTCCCCACACCGGCGTTCTTGTTGTCTGTCACCAGTAGTGCGCCCACACTCACCCGTATTCTGGGGTTTCGGGGACGTCTCCATCACTGAGCGGTGTTGACAGTGTCCTCCACGTGCTTTTCCCTCTGCCATCCCCAGTTCACCTGTTTTACTTTCAGGGGGAGTCTGAGGGTCATTACGAACCTTGCTACTAACGAGTCTCCACCATGACCCCAAACCCCACAGGTACAAATGTACACAAGCATAAAATGAACTTAAATCTAATTTAAAATAAAAGTCACTTCTCTTTTTCTTCAAAGCTTAGCATTTAGAAGGGTATTCTGCACTCTGTGTCTATGTCCTGATCTTACAACAAGTTTAAAATCTCCATGACAAAAATCATGACTTACTTGTCACATACAGTAGACTCTCATGTGAGCCCTCCAATGACATGTGACTCTGCAGACCCCTCCCCTCTCCTGGTAACTGTCACCTTTCTGTCTTCACCTGCACCTTCATCCCCAAAAGTCCAGTCTTACTGCCTGGCCACCCATCTGCCATCGTCTTAGTGTCCCAGGTCCCCTCACTCGATTGTGCCGGGATGCTCCGCATTTCCCTGGTGCTCACTGGGAGATCCCAGGGACACCTGCAGCTGCCATGGCCACCAAGCGTTCATGACTGCTGCTGCCAATTCTTGACATACCAGTGAATCACTCCAAAACAAACAAACAAACATACACACACCTTGGGGTTAAGAAAAGTAAACTTGCCTTTCCGACCCCGAGAGTTGGATTTGAACATCAGCGCTTTATGATTTAGAGTGGCTATACATAAGGTCATTTGAAGGAGAAAGACGGGCTCCCAGATCATCGTCACGTAAGTCATCTTTTGGATGGAGAAATGCTTATGAACTGGTTTTGTTGACCCCAAATTAATCATATACCACAGTCTGTCCCCCTTCCTCAAATCCATCTCTTTCCTAGTCTGAAGATATCATTAGAAAGTTTTTCTTCAATGGAAAGAAGACCTTTTCTAGGATATTTTGGACCAGTAGATTACTGTGCTATCATGACAGCTACCATGGACTAAGATGGCAGGTGTTATTCATTTTCTAATTCACTTTCCCTGACAAAACATAACCATAAAACAAGGGAGAAAGTAACAATTGACTTGAAAACCAACAAGCTAAGGAAAAAAACAATTGCAAGCTCAGAGGAAAAATAATTTAATTCTGACTTGTATTTGTGCTGGACCCTGAAAGACTAAGCAGGCATCGGCCGTGTCAAGCATGTGCATGGGGAAGAGAAAAATCCCAACATTACACTATGAAGGACAATAAGCGGGTGTTCAGTGTGTATGTTTTAATTACCCCAATGTTCAATAACTTTCCAGTACATCTCCCCATAAAGCATCACTGCACATAAAATAAGATACTCCTCAAGTATTGGCAGCAAACCACCTTTGCTCAATTCCATCTCGCTCTCATAAGTGCATAGGATATCCGTGGCATGGAACAGCTTTACATTCTTAAGCTGCAAAGGCAAAGGGCAGGCAGGCATTTTGCATTTGACTTCCTACTACTGAGATGGATATTTCACTCTCCTCCGCTGTTCCCCGAAATGCTAATGCGCACCATGGGAATGGATTGCTTCTCTGGGTGACAGATGTAAAGTGACTGCGCTTGGAATACCTGCATTGGTGGTATTCAGCCATTGCACTGATACTGGTTTGAAAGACATTCTAAATTGCTAAAGCATTTTGAACAACAACAAAACAAAACAAAAAAAAAACAACGAAGGCTTCATTTTAGTCACACATTCCACGATTTTGGGGGGAGTCAGCTCAGGACACCAACAAAGGGAGAGCAGAGCAGCTTTCACAGTCTCGATGCGTCTCTACCTGATACAAAGAGTCTGGCGCTGTTGCTCTGTCTCGTCTCTCCAGTGTATCTGTGCCGCGTGACACAGCGGTAGTTATACAATCCGTCTTCGTTCTGTACATCTTTAATATACAAGGCTCCAGTGGATGTGATGAGAAATCTAGATCCTGAAACAGAGGAAAGTAATGGCTTGGTTAAAAGAGAGCAACAGCAACCCAACCACACGAACAGAGTCCTTAAATCGTGTTTTTTCCCCTTTGCACCTGAAGAAATTTCATGCGAAGGCTAAAAATAGGGGTGTGTGTGTTACTTTAGGGTCTAAGCCGGGGGGTGTTCAAACTTTTTAAACAGGGAGCCAGTTCACTGTCCCTCAGACCGTTGGAGGGCGGACTATAGTTTAAAAAAAAAAAACTATGAACAAATTCCAAGGCACACTGCACATTCTTTTTTGAAGTAAAAACCCAAACAAGGCAAAATACCCGCATGTGGCCCTCGGGCCGTAGTTTGAGGACGCCTGGTCTAAGCTGTTTTAATTTTTCAACTGCCTAAATAGTTGTTGGTAAGTATGTTACACAATAAAAATATACTTAGCAAAATCTAATTTCATAAATTAATTTTTAGGTCATGTATTTGTCTTACAGCACAGAGTTCAATTCTACTTTAGAGTTAGATTAGATTCTCTTGGATTCCTTTGCTTTTTTCTTAGAATGTGACAAGTTAAGGGAGTATTAACATTTTTTTGTTGCAAATTTCTACCTCATGAAGGTAATAAACTTTTGCCTCAGTTTGAAGTGTTTCAATAAAAGCACAAAAACAGACTATAAAGCAATAAAATCATTCCACAAGCTTCCCAAGGAAGATTGTCTTATTTCTTCATAATATTCACAACCAACATTTATCTATGTTCCAAAACAAAGACCAAATCTTCCCAGATTCTGTGTTTTAGAACACTTTGCTATCACTTAACCATAAATTTTTAAAGTGACTACTCAAATCATTGACAATAACTATCTTCACCTCAAAGAGAAAATCTCACGCTCAGCCATTCCCTTTTCATGTCAGCATAAAACACAATGTCCTATCTGTGACCTGTGATATTTTTACCTGTACAACTTTAGTTTTACAAAAATGGTTAACATTGGAATCAAGTATTAGTGTTAGTTTAAGAAAGGTGAAGACTTTTCCTTTGAAAATGTAACTTTGAAGATAAGTGTCACTGTTCAATTACAGTTGGGTGGCAAAACAAATTGGAGCAGGCGAGGGCACGGTGGCTCACGCCTGTAATCCTAGCACTCTGGGAGGCCAAGGCGGGGGATTGCTCGAGGTCAGGAGTTCGAAACTAGCCTGAGCAAGAGTGAGACCCCATTTCTACTATAAATAGAAAGAAATTAATTGGCCAACTAATATAGAAAAATTAGTTGGGCACGGTGACACATGCCTGTATTCCCTGCTACTTGCAAGGCTGAGGCAGTAGGATCGCTTGGGCCCAGGAGTTTGAGGTTGCTGTGAGCTCGGCTGATGCTACTGCACTCACTCTAGCCTGGGCAACAAAGAGAGACTGTGTCTCAAAAAACAAAACAAAACAAAACAAAACAACAAAAACAAATTGGAGCATAAAAGTAGACCTCAAAGTGAGTCATTGCACCTTCATGGTGGGTGATTCCGTATACTTCCTGCCACTGTTGGACTCTTCCATGCACTATTTCTGTAAGTGATGTGATTTCACATGAAAGAATGTGATTTGTCTCTTTGGGAAAAGACTAAAATGTAAAAAAAAATCAACTTATTTTATTGTTTGTTTTTCTTAGATTCAGTTGAAACTTCTTGTGACACATTTTAGTCAAAATTGCCAGCCAGGAGTTGTAACTTTATTGTTTTGGGCTTCAAATATTTAAGTCATAAATATAATTTCTTGGTCATTTCCTATATGCAAAAGTCAATTGCTCAGATGAATTAAAAATGGTTTATGATTTCTTACGGAGACAAGAGCAATTCCAAGGAAAATGGATGTCAAAAAGACCATTAAGATATAGAGCAAATACAGACCTAGCATAAGCTTTTCAAAAGAGCACAAATGATCATTAAAAATAGTATAAGATATCTTTAGTACTTACTTTAACTTTCAAAACAATTCCATTTAGATAGCTATTAAAATATGTCATAAATATGCTAAATATTAAAAAAGCTAAAAAAAAATCTCTTAGTGCTGTATATTCTAGATAATTTTGCTTTATCCTCCCCCAAAAAGAAACTAAAAATATCTTTCATCATTTGTCATGTGTCATCACACTCAAACACTTCTTACCAATATATATTATATATAATAGAAACATTGTTTCTCTTTAAATATGTTTTGCATACTTACATAACACTTTAATAACCAGTTCTTTTAAAGTACAACATGATAGACAGAAAGGAAGGTCAAAAAAGATAATGGATATAATTCACGTAATTCCTGTCACCTTCCTAGCATGGAATATTTTCAGTAGAATTGACAGGCCATCAGCAATGTGGAAATGTAAGTGAAAGCATTTTGCCTGTGATTCTTCAGGAAGGTTGAAATATGCACAGGAATGGCAGTAGCCTGCACTTACTACCTGCTGATTCCTGAGAGGGCTCTATTTATATATATCTTCAGGCACATTTGATTTAATCACCCACGTTGCTCTTGTAATATCTAACTTTTTTTGTTTACTCATGTACTTATCATGCTAAATAAGACTCTGTTAAGACATGTCCTTTAAACATCTTTTTTTTTTTTTGCAGGAAATTTATATTTTATTTTATTTTAGCAGGTTTTAACATTATCAATTCTTTTTTATTATTTTATTTCATTTCAGCATATTACAGGGGTACAAATGTCTAGGTTACGTGTGTTGCCTTTCCTTCCTTCCCTCCCAGAGTCAGAGCTTCAAGCGTGTCCATCCCCCAGATGGTGGGCACTCATTATGTATGTATATACCCATCCCCTCCTCCCTCTCTGACCTGCCTGGCGCCTGATAAATGTTATTCTTATATGTCCACTTAGGTGCTGATCAGTTAATACCAATTTGCTGGTGAGTACATGTGGTGCTGATTTTTCCATTCTTGGGATACTTCACTTAGTAGAATGGGCTCCAGCTCTATCCAGGAAAATACAAGAGGTGCTAGATCACTGTTGTTTCTTATAGCTGAATAGTACTCCATGGTATACATATACCACATTTTATTAATCCACTCATGTATTGATGGGCACTTGGGTTATTTCCACATCTTTGCTATTGTGAATTGTGCTGCTATAAACACTCGAGTGCAGGTGCCTTTTTTATAGAGTGTCTTTTGTTCTTTTGGGTAGATGCCCAGTAATGGGATTGTTCGTAGAAATGGAGAAGTTGATATTGGCAGAGTTTCCATTCTGAATTTGACCTATCTCTGCCTGGCCCCCACTTCTCATTGAAACCCATCTTGAAATTGATCCACAATTTAAAACATAACAAAAGGTTGAAGAATATAATCCTTTCATTATGAGTGGACACAGGAAAGCCCAGGGTCCTTGGGTACAGTCTCAACTCTGGAGTCCCATGGAAGTCTAGGGGGATGATGAGAGCATGGTAAAGCCATTAGAGCACCAAATGCCTTGGCTCCATGGTAACAAAGAATCATTTTAACTACCCCCTAACTTGCCACTGAACCCCACTCATGGCCTTACATCACCAGAGGTTTTCAGGTCATATGGAATAAATGGTTTGTTCGCGTCCTTACATGAGATTAAAGAATGTGCTTCCATTAAAATAGGCTAATATTAAAATATAAATTATTGGTATCAATGAAATGCAAACACACAAATTCTCTCTCTGCCTCTCTCTTATTGATTTCTCTCTCACACACATGCACACACACACAGGCACACACACACACACACACACACACACACACCCCTTGAGTACTCAGATCTGTCTGGTAACACACAACTGTGCAAAGCCAAGAATTTTATGAGTAACTCTTTTTCTTAGAAAACTGTTAGCATTTTAGATGGAAATATTTCTACAATATAGTTCATACTTTTAGTCACATTAAACACACTGCAAATCAGAGTCAACCAAACAGTAGTGAATGATTTTTGGATTTAAAGTCATCGCTGTGGACATCAATTATTGAGCTACGCTGCTCAGTTATGAGGTTGATGGGTCAGAACCTGTCTTCACTTCTCGAGATGCACTAAATGTTCCCCGACTGCCAGATGTTTAAGTCCCTGAGCTCCTCCTTTTCTGCCAGGCTATCGGCTGTTACTTCTCTTATTATCAATCTCCCTGTCAACATACTTAACAGTGTGATGCATTCAGTATGCTGAGAGTTAGAAAACAGCCCCACCAAACTGGCTAGGACTTTGTGTAAACCAGGAGTAAATAAGTTATGAGCAAGGGCCAGAGTGGCTCTCAATGTCAGCTCACATGAGCCTGTATGTTAGTGCCACTAATATAAGTCCACTGCTTGGCACCAGTTCAGCCAGCCTGACTAAGTTCAGCATAGGGACTGGTGGGACAGTTTTACCCAGAAACACAAAAACGCCAAAGGAAATGGGGCATTTGCCCGATAGGAGGATGTTGCAGGAACCCCCAGGGTAGTAGTCAGGGCAGCCACGTTCTCCCCACTCTCGTGGTGCTGAGCTATGAAGAACACACAGAGAGCAACGGCTTCTAAAGTTGAGCACGATACCTTTTTGGGTTTTCTGTATGATTGCATCAAAGGTAGTGATCAAAACAGCAACAGTTCTGGAAATCCATTTTGCTGACCTATGGGTAGTTAAAGCAGAAAGCCTGAGCTTTAAGATCTGGGCTGCAGAAAGCAGACACGTGTGCCCTCCAGAAAGGGATACATCAGAGCTGATTCCAGGAGGCACCCTGTGCCATGGTGGGCAGGACACAGAGCTAAGTAGTGTGTCTGGCCGTTGGGCCAGCACCATCCTGGGCTCCAGAAATACAAAAAATAATGGGACAGACCCTGTCTTCGCGGAGCTTGTAATCCAAACAGATTTGAGCTTTGGGGTTAGGTACATGCAATCTGAGTGAGAAAGAAGAGAGGAAGGGAAGAGCCTAGGGAGTAATCAGGGAAGAGACACTATCCTTGCATCACATGGATGAAAGGGGCTACCAACACCCTGGGAGGAAAACTGTCATTTATCCCCACA